GGGGAAGAATAAATCCATTATATTGCTATAACTACCACCATTCAATTGTGTTTTAAATATGAATAAAATGTTACCCTCATTTCCCATTGAGACGAAAATATCAGCTAAATTCCACTTGGCTTTCGCCTTCAATTACTATACTTTTATAATCGGGTTTAGAGTAGCTGGTAAAAAGGGTAAACAATGCGACCGTCCATCAGCCATAATCAGCCCCGCCCGCTGTCTTAACCCCTTTGGCCCCACAGTTAAACAGTTTTCATGTCTACCCAGAAATCCCAATGAGTGGGAAAGAAGTAAGCGATTTTGTTTGTGCGATAAGCGATAAAGCAACTGCGGCCCATGCGGCGTATGAGTAATGGCCAATACTCGTATGCCTGAAAGGAGGCTTTTTCGCTTTTACGCTTTAAAAAATAAAAAAGTAGTGGAGTAAGGTGCTCAGACACTCATTCAATCCCCGATTGGCCATATCAAATCTGCTTTGACACAAATTGATATGCATGCCTTTTATTTACCAAACAATTGAGCAGGAAACCCGCTTTTTTGGACTTCCCCCGTTTGACAGATTTATATCTGGGTAACAGGAAAAGTACTGACTGATGTTACACTTTTCTACTCTTTTTTGTTAATATTCAGTTAATTAGGCAGCAGTGTAGTCTTCCCAGCAAACAAGTGCAACTATTCGACTAATCCCAAAGTGGATCAAGGTTTCCGTTGACTCGCGTTTTAGTTTCGAGAATTGCATCTTTTTGGCTGTATTGTTCGACTTCATATTGATTGTTTTTGAAAGTTTTGGCAATGCGAGAATCTTAGATTTTAATTGAGTTTGATTGAGCTTGCCAGTCAGCCAGCCAAAGTTCAGGTGGTCTTGGCCATGGCCAAGATGGAGGCCCCCGATCACACAGACTTCCCAGATTCCCAAGTTCCAGGCCGGAGAAGACGAGGGTTTCAATGCCGGCGACGGGTAATTCGATACGCGATTGTGCGGTTACATAACCCGTGTGCACATGATTCGTAGATAAAAGACGGAGACAAATAATAGCAGTTCGCACACTTCGATACTTCGCGCACACCTGTACCTATGTAGCTATGTATCTTTGTATCTTTGTATCTCTGTATCCGTGCGTCTCTATATCACTGTGTTTTTCTCTCAGCGATAATACGTTATAAAACGAAATCTTCTATTAAATAAACGGGTATCGTTTCGCTCACATCCAAAAAAAAGAAAAACAATAAAATAAACGATCAAAGCCGCAAAAAAGCCGACGAAGAACGGCAATTTATAATCAAGTAATTACATATATCACATTATATTGGCAAGTTCTTTCATTAAAATATTTGAAATCAACATATTAGCGTTTTAATGTTAATCATTTAATGACCAATTAGTATGTTTGCCTCAAAGTGTGACTTTTCCATTCGGTTATTCGACACATTGTGTACCCTTTTTTTCGGTCACTCCACATTACAATTCAGTGGAAATTGAATTTTGCTTGCAACATGCACAAATAAATTCGTTCGAGCGATAAGCGACCATTGTTATTATTTTTTCTGTATTTTTTCTGTATTTATTTGTTATTTCCCTCGTTATTATTTTGTTGTTCACTCTTTCTGTGCTAAAGGCCAGGGCCAAAAGTAAGCAACAAAGGCTGAATTAAAAATCACAGCAAATGGCAAACAGTTTGCTGTTTTGCCTGGCCTTCATTGTCGATTCAACAAACTTGTATTAGAAGTCTGAGACTTTGCTACTTGCTCACTTAATACTTATTGTTATATTTTTTGAATAGCGAATTCCTACATTTGATAGGCAAATATTACAAAACTGCTGGGTATGATTAAATAAGCCCGATCATCTCGATTTTACTGGTATCTACATGGGAAGAGCACACATCCAATCCGCCGGAATGTTTCGCATAGCTCGATTTGCGGTTTAGGCTTCCACTGCCAATTGAAATCCATCGATTCCACCGAGCGCTGATTCCGGCAATTCCACCTGCAGTTTGGAAATGCAGGAAGTTGGTGGGTGCTTTTCACCCACCACTTTGCACGTATGTACGTACACGTATGTACATTCATATGTACATCCCTGTATAGGCTTGTTGCTATTGCCCCTGGTTGCCAATGCCATCGGTTGCTGTATGTTGCAGGCACTTCTCACGTGGTTTCTGCAATTTGAGTGCACTTTGGTTTATTGTTTATCGATTTGCTTGCGGGCAATTAAATTCCCTTCTACTCCACCGGCTCTCCTTAGCCGCAACTTTCAATTGCGATGCAAGATTCCAAATACCAGGGCAGACCCATAGACCCATTAAACGGCGAAGTTTCCCCATTACCTTAGCTCCTCGGTTGCTCTTGAAATGTGTGAAGTGCCACACGAGCGGGGTAACAAGAGGTGCGGTAGAGAACACAATACAACTCGACGGGGCAATACCCTATACCTATAAACACACAGATCAATTTCCTGTACACAATTTGCTTAATTACTGGAGCTAAAAGAAAGGGAAATAATAGTTTGAAGCGTTCGTATTTACAATAAACCTATAGGTACATATGTATCTTTGGGTTTCTTCTTTGGGACAACAAATCCCACAGGTTTATTTACTCAACTAAGCACCCAATGAATGTTTATACCCATATACTCGTATACTCGGTGCAAAAACATCTAAAAGTTAACAACTGTGCAACAAACAGCACTTTGTTGAAATAGTTGATGTTTATGCACCCTTCTCAACGACAAACACAAGTGTGCAAAATGACAGTAAACGCACAATTGCGTTTTTTATTTGCAAACTCTGGTCGAAATGAAATTTGTGTTGCTCAAATCGGATTTAAATAATAAATCGTATTTGCAAAGTGAATGAATGACCACAAAGTAAATGATTTATCCATTTTTTTGCAACTGAATGTTACTTGTTTTTTCAATGCATTTCAGCTTTAATTAAAATGGCACGAATATGTATGGTATAAGTTGTATCAACTCATTTAACTGTCTGATAGATGGGGCATGCCCTTGTTTTACCCTTTCCTCTTTGGTCTCACCTGTCGTCTTCTCGGGCCGCAAGACCTATTAATGGTTAATTAAGGTTAATAATATGGCACAAACACTCCGCACAACGGAGAGCCACGAGCTCAAAGACCAACAAATAGCGGACAATGGACAATGGGCAATGGGCAACGGAGAGTGGACAACGAACGAGGTACTACGGACGGACGACATACGGACGGACAGTAATGGACACCTGTGATGACTACGTCAACAGCTTGCTACTCGATTACGAGCCTTTGCATGTGTCAATGGGGCGGTGTTCGGTGTCCGCCCTTTGACTACAACCCCTCAACCCCCCAACCACCCAAGTCGCACTCTTTTACCTATTTTTTGTTCTTCTCCGGACGGACATGAACTCAATCGGAATCGCAATTGCCCGGACTTGAAGGGGCGCTCGACTGACGCGGCATGTCAAGACTTATGAGAGGAATGCCGAAGGGGCTGTGTCGCGGAAATGAATGACACAGGCAAAGGTACACACATGGACACCCGCTCACACCCACACACGCACCAATACCAGCGCACGGACATACACACATAGATACGAGTACGTATACTCTCGCGCGCGCACAAATGAGATTAAAAGTCAGAAACTTGGAGCTCGGAAAACGCACGGTAGTTTCTCCAACTCGCAAAAACGCCCCCGCCCCAACCCTTCGCCTGCATGCAATGAAAACCCCATACACTGCCCAAAGAGATTTCGAAATTTCAATACCATTAGATTCCTTAAAATGTTATCATAGGTTTTTTACTTGTCTTTCTTTTTGTAACTTAACTTGAGGATTAGTTGGCTCACAATATTCATGTGTTGAATCTTCCTAGCTGATCGGTCGCACTGTGTAGGTCCGGATTTATTCCAAGTGTAGGAAGTGAGGCGGCGGTAGGTTCAACGACATGTAGCGACATCGAGGCTGACAACGCGGCGCCTAATTGGATCTGGCTCGAGCGCTCCACTTTTGCCCGGGCATGCCTGCGAGCGGTGAGGGGGGCGGGGGCTTGGAGCTTGGGGGATGCGCCCTCGGATCGAGGGCGTCTTTAGCCCCATACGTACCCCATAGCCAGCAGCCTGTAAAGCCCGCCGCTTTTTGACGCAATCAACAGCCGAAAACGCAAGGGCAGCGAAATGAAATTAAAGCCGAGGTCATGGGGTAGGTTGCTTAGTGGGTGGATTGGGTGGATTGGGTGGTCTTGGCCTCGGTTTCGGTTTCGGTTTTTGGCAGGGAGTGCAGCCGAAAAGCAATAAAAGTGACAAGAAAAGTTGAGGCGCTGAGTGGGCGACGAAGAAGGATAAGGACAAGGATCCAGCAAGATGGAGAACGTGGATTTGGGGCGGCCAAACGTGGGGTAGTCGTTACTGTCAGCAACCAGAAAATTGTTAGCCAAACTTTTAGCCAACATCTCCCTTAGCAAGAGAATAAACCCAAAATCCTAAAAAAAAAAGCCAGAAGAAGAAACAGGCATAAAAACGATTCCCAGGCGGCAACATTTTTGTGGCCCTTGAATGCACTCATGAATATGTATCGAGTGATTCGTTTAGAGCGCCGTGAATGCAGCGAATGAGCGTTCGGGGAATACCAAAACCCGAAAGCACTAAGCCGCAGTGATGCCTGTCATAATGGTGCAAATCATTGCTTGGGTCAGTGACGTAAATTCCCAAAAGGATCACAGGCGGCTTTCGTCACTAATGTACATACGCGTATATCTGGCATCACGTTGGGATGCATGGCCTTTGAAATTGCACTTTACAACCTTAATTAGGAGTAAGCTTATGACGCTAGGTATTAGTACTTTATTTACGGCAACTGTAAGAGCAACTGTAAGTGTGCTTCGTCACCGGAGCGAATCTACTAACGATTTTTGGGCTCTTTCTGCTCGACAGATCCCGGGCAATTAAGCTCCCTGCTAAATGTTTAATGTCCCACATTAATTATTCTATCCACTTGCCTCCCTCTTGCAGCCTGGGATATTGGCAATTCGGTGCAGGACGCCTTCGTCATCGCCGTCGAGGAGCACGCCCGCGAACGTCTGCAGAGATTGGCGGCCTTGAACCGGGTCACGCCCGTCGACATTACCCAGCTGTCCAAAAAGGTGAGTGATGCGCAGGTCAATTGGGTTCCATATCTGCCACTTTCTGGTTGGCTTTTGTTTTACTCAGTTTGATCACATCCTTATGGAATTTTTGTAAGAGGTTTGCAGGATATTTTTGTTGATTACCGTACACCGTATTTTCCCAAATTGTTAATTCACTTCTGAGAATTTGTGTTTAAGCAAATTTTCCGTTTGGTGCTATTTCCTTTGCAACAGCATTTAACATGAGGTTTTTAGGAGTTTTTTTTTTCATTTAAGAGGTGGATACCTAGAGAATACTTTTCCAATTAAAAAGTTTCCTGGCTTGCAAAGGAGTTATTTATTCTTTGGTTATTTTCGGGAAATTTCGGTTGCAAACTTGCCAGCTTCCTTACACTTGACTGACGCCTTCCATGTCATTTCTAGAAGTTTTAATGACACATGTCTCGAACATTTTTCATGTTTTTAACGCTAATTAAATCAACATTCAGCAGAGAAATGGGTCTTTAACTGGCATGTAGGGTAATGCCTCACAAATTCGTGGCAGCTACAGAAATTGGATACACATTTGGCATTTTAGATCAGCTGCAGCAATGTGTTGTTCTTTCTGTACAGGATTAACTTATTGTTTTTGCCCAAGGACATTAGCAGGACCAAGACTTTTCCCTGGAAATGACTTTGCTATTTTTAGGTTTTATGTTGGCTTTTTTAGCGTGGGTTTTCGTAGGTTTTTCTTATACGTTTGCTGAAAGTGCATATTCAATGGAAATGAAAAGGAGAAAAAATGGGAAAAAAATGGAAAATCAGGATGCGGAATTCCCGGAAAGTGCAACACCGTTTTCATCCTTCCATCTCTTTTCCTTAACCCCTCCCCCGCCCCCAGTTTGTGTGGCATGTGGCATTGAGGCAAACATGAATGTGAGCCATTTATTTGCAGGCAGTGTGTTTGGCCCGATTTGGATGGGAAACTGAAATTGAAAACGAAAACGAAAACGTTTTATCAAAACAGCTTTCTATCACACATGGTGTGGAGTCCACTGTTATTGGCATAACTGAGTGACCGGAGGCCACTCCCAAATGCCAAATACAAAATACACAATACAATGCTGCAAGATACAAAATGCGAAATGCAAAAAATGAGGAAGTATGCTCGTTCACAAAATTCAATTAAAAATTCAACAAACCCAACACGAGCCAGTGGACTATAGACTGCGAACTTTATAGTGCACTGAAACTAAAAGTGGAAACAAAAACAGACACACAACTTAGGTAAAAAGTGAATACAACAAAGAAATGCTCACAATAAACGTTGTACTCGTACAAACTTGAAAACAAAATCAAAAAATAAAATTGCCATCAAAAGTTACGCAAAACAGAGAAAAAAATCGAGGCAAATAAAGCATAAAAATGAAAGAAACAGATACAAATACAAATACAAATACAAATAAAAACAAAACGGCTGCCGAGGGGAAAAATAAATGCAAATCACATATGTATGTGGGTAATTGAAAGTGAACGCTGCAAACCCATTTGCATGTGCGACCAGAAGAGTGAGTGTATTCACATGGGACTAATACTAATGAAGCGATTCGGTCTTCAAAGTTACATAACATTACCGATTCCCGAAATTAGGTGCACAACGGAAATGAAAATTTTAAATACATAACCGGAATGAGGTTTCATATCCGTTGTTCATACATTTTCCACAAGACCTTTCTATGAAATCTCCTAACGATATGAAATTGTTTTTTATATAAAACATATATAACATATTATATATGTAGGAAGGAGTGTACCATTTTTCCGCGTGTAGCATTTTGAGTCTGCGGGCCGACCAGTGAATAAATTCATTAGCTATTCATTGTGCGTATTAACAGTTTCGTTGCGTTTACAGTTTAACCACAAAAGATCGCGCTGAATGAAATGATTTATTGCGAATCATTTGCATGCAAATAACATCGATTACATTTGGCTACCATTGATTTGTATATTCACTGCATTTAAATCGCTGTAACTAGTTTACTTTAATAACGACTATTTGACTTAGTGCCATATTTGCGTTTTCTTTTCTAACTAAGCTTTGAATTACAAATTACATCGATTCATTATGCTGAATGAGCACACCTCGGCGGGTTAAAGAAAAGAGGCACTCCGATTTTATTTTAAAAATCAATTCATTACGAAACAAGGGCGGAGTTCTCTTGTCAAGGGTTCCAAAGTGATTGAATTGAAGCAAGTGCACTGTTGTGCCCAATAATTTGGTCACTCAAATCGGTGGCTGGCGAGTGGGAAAATGTGAAAACGCTGAGTTCGAGGGGCTCTCATTGCGATGGAATGGATGGTATTCCACGCATTAACCGCATCAAGAGCTGCGCCAAACCCGAATGCCCCGGAATACCTCCGGTAACCCCAATGCCGATCCCCTTGTGCTACCAGCAATTTTAAGCGCATCAAGTGCTTTTGTCATCATCGCCATCACAGTTGAACGCTCCAACAATTGCTTTCAGCTTTCCGGACGTCGCATGGAATTGGGAGTCAGGTGCGGTTCGGTTCGGTTCGGTGCGGTGCGGTTCGGTACGGTGCGGTTCGGTTCAGCTAGGTTAGGTTTTGGTACGAATCTGGGGATCTAGATTGGGCTGGGCTGGGCTGAGTTCAGTTTGGATTGGATTGGATTGGATTGAGTTACTCCAGCTGGAGTGGAGGTGGTGCTTTTTTGTCTAGGATGCGCTGGAGTGGAGCTGCAGGGCAGAAAGTCAACCGTTTGTTGCCAGGCCAACCGAACAAATGATTTTGCATACACAAATAAACGTGAATATGCATATGGTTACACTGAGAGCTGGAAAATAATTTCTGCCATTTTAGCATTACCCCCTGCTTAACAATAATGACATTTATGCTAAGCACTATATGTGCACAGTGGGTGATAAGTTCAAGTGCTTGAAATATATTGTAGCATACTTTTGCACAGTTGCATTAAAATTGTGCTTATTTGCCCGCCGTGTATGCATGCATCGATTTATCCGATAAGTGTTGAGGTGCGTAGGTGGATTATATGGCGTATATGGTATATTGTATATATGGTATATGTGGGAACTGGGAACTGGGAGCCGCGGCACTTCAATCCGCCATCGGGAGAATCCACAAGCCGATGCGGTAGACTGACAAACCGACTTGGTTGTCAATAATCCGATAAAATGCGGACAAAAAATACGCTCACGGCGTTTGGGTGGCAGGAAAAAAGAATTATATTGATATACATAAGCCATGGGGAGCAAAGTGAGAATGTGCCGCAGGCGTTAAGTATGGATACACCCACTACTCGGCTTTCTTCTCGTTATATACTCTTACATTTTCATTCTGCTCCCAACATGGGCGTCCCATCCTCAGGAAATTGCATCAAAAGGGCCCCATAACTCAACTTGTTCATTTATTTTCACTTTTTTGTTTTTTTTTTTTTTGTTCATGCTGACACTTAGCTACAGCTATTGGCATGAGGGCGCGACTTAACCTGAAGAAGGTTAAGGCCAATTGGATTGGCTGGGATACATGTACATATAGGCGAGAACCCAAAGGCGTCCTAATTGACGGGCACTGAATGCGGTGTAAATTGTGGGTTTTTGGTCTGGCCACCTACATTCCTATCCAGAGAGCAAAATGGAATGCAAACCTAACCCAGACGCTGACTCACCCACCCACACACATGTGCCGCATGCCACATCCATTATGTGTTCGTCGCATTAATAATTCATATTTCATTAGGGGAACAGCATCAATACAACCACGACTTCGGCGGGGGCGTGGCAGTGGAGCAGGGGCGTTACTTGGTTAGCTTTATTTTAATGGAATTTGATTGATTTGCATATATGCGAACGAAGCCTGTCAGCGGTGTTAAACGATGGCAGTTTTCAGCGCTTACTTGTTTTTCGGTGTTTGCGGTGCCACAATGATGGGAATTGGATGATAGTTTGACAATAGAATGGCTATCACAATAGTGCAACGCATCTTAGCCAGGTCGGTCTGTTTGACAGTACTCAATGACAAACGAATTTATTTCAAGGGGAGGCTACTTTTCTGATTAGGGTAGCAGGTTAACCAGTGTTAACAATTTGTTAAAATCAACATTTTGAACCTTGTTCAACATGTAAAGATTTTCAGTTTTATTATTATGTTTATTTATTAAATCCATAATAAATTTGAGGAGAGGTAATAATGGGGTTTTCGAGCTCGTGTGCTAAATTTACCTTCTAAACCATTTTCCACGCATTTGTCGGTTGGAACAGCTGCAGCAAACGAAGAGCGGCACGGCGACAAGTCAGCGCCAGGACCTCAGCTTCCTGAACGAGTCGACGCCCATCTATGTGACGTCCTTCACGAGCAACCAGATCACCTGCAGCAGTTCCACGATGACGACGGCCACCGCCGGCGGGCCGATCAGCGCACCATCGCTGGCCACGGCCACCACCACCGTGCCGACGGCATCCTCCCACACCACCACGGTGGTGGCCCAGATCGAGCACGGGGCATCTGCGCTGGTCAGTGCCGCCGTGGCAGCAGCCACTGCGGCGGATCGGAATGCCAATAGCACCACATCGGCGGCCCTGAAGCAGACGGCCAACTGCATTGGCAGCACCACCAGCCAGTCGGCCAGCAGTGCCATGGGGCAAATCTACCAGACCAGCCAGGCGCAGCAGCAGCAGTTGCAACAGTTGCAGCAGCAACTTGCGGCAGCAGCAGCGGCGGGGAAGCCGCTGCAGGCCAAGTCCCTCTTGGCCAGCAGCCTGCAACATCTGGCCGAGGAGGTGGACAACGAGGATCTGGACGATGATGACGACGTGGATGGCGCCAACTATTGTGGCATAACCTATATTAGCTACAACAACAAGCATGCCCAGCTGCCGACGACAACACTGCCGGCGGCCACCGCGTTGCCAGCGGCAGCTGCATCACTGGCCACCACGGCGGCGATTTACCAGCAGAGGCAGCAGCAGCAGCAACAGCAGCAGCAGCAGCAGCAGGTGCACCACCACAACCACCCACCAACGACGAGCCAACTCAATCGACCCACAGCACCGGCGCCGCTGCAACTTGGAGGTCCTGTCAATCCCAGCTTCGTGGACGCCCAGACATCCACATCGCCGCTGATGGGACACTATCAGCAGCAGCAGCACCAGGATGTGGATGCAGCAGCGCCCTCGTCGTCATCATCATCGGCGGTGGTGGTGGAACGGCATGTGCATGGCACCACCACGCCCAAAACGGAGTACTCCACGGCCATATCGAGTGGCCAGTTGCAGCAGGCCTTTGCCGAATTGCAGCTGCACTCGAGCAACAATAATGCAACACAGCAGCAGCAACAGCAACAGCAGCAACATTTACTTTTAAGCAACAACAATAATAGCAATAATTCAATGGCAGCGGCACAGACAACTGCATCTCTGATGAAGAATTGTGATCTACTGATATCGAACAATCTGTATCCACCGAGAAGAGAGGTGATATATTTATGTTGGAGGTGGCGCTTGAATGACCATTCATTTGTATTTTATTCGTTTTGGTTTATGTGGATTATTGAGCTTCCTTTGGCCACAATTGATTGATTTCATTTACATTTTATTGAGGAATTTATTTGGTTCTAGCTTCTGTCGAATTTCCGTCAGCATGCAAGTGAATTACGAATTGATTTTGAAGTTGTTCAAGAACTCATTTAATTGGGATAATTTTTAAATCTATTATCTCAAATGGAATTTGTTTTCAGCCATTGCGTTTGATTGCTTTTGATTTGTGAATAACTTATCCATTCGATTTTCCTATTCTAATTCATCTTCATTTGCCTACTCCACAGTTACTACAAGACGTCATAGTCCATCAGGGCAGTGATGTGCATTCATACAGCACGAGTGCATCAGCAGCGATCGCCAGCAGCAGCAACAGATCACAGCAGCAGCACCAGTTGCTGAGTGCCGCCTACGAGTTGCAGCAGCAACAGCAGCAGTTGCAACTGCAGCACCAGCAGCAGCAGCAGCACAGTCCCACAAGTAGCATATCAATTGGAAGAACTGAACTTTTACTGGGCGATCAGAGTTTGCGGCAGGATCCCAGGGGGTGAGTTTGTGCTATACCCATTTATAATATATATATAAACTAGATTAGATGTAAGACACGAATCAAGTTTCCCAGTAATAATGTCCTTAGGGAGCAAAGAGTTTGGAGTCACTGTGTCCTTGCTAAATGATCTGTGGGAAGACAAAAAATGTAGCCTAGCCTGTAGGCGCTTTCGCTTAGCAGTGCTTGTCAAACTGCATTGTTTTCGTTTGTCTGTCTACTTATTTGATTTACTTGACCAACGCTGCGAGCGTGTTTGTGTGTCTGTCTTTGCACTTTATGAAGCATTTATTACCGCTCCTCGCCGCTCTCTTCCTTTCCCTTCCATTGCTTCTCTGTTTTTTGCCAACTTTGGCAGCAGCTACTGGTCCGAAGCGATGGCCCTCCGGCTTGAATGGAATTTTTCACGCTGCGGAAATACCCAACATGTGGCCCACACACACACAAATGCACTGACACAAGCTGACGAGCTGAGTTTTTATGACTGCTTATTTATTTACTCGCTCTGCTCGCTGGGTTTTCCACCTGGCTGGATCGCAGCAACTCCGCCCTGCATCCTTATTCCCATTCCCATTCGCATCCGCATCCGCATTCGCATCCTTGTTCCAGCTCCGCCTTTGGCCATCGCTGACATTTTTCACACATTTTTCCCAGTGCTCGCACTCCGTCCCTCCCCTTGTGGCACCACTCAACCCCTCTCGTTCGTCCTTGGCAAACGAACCTGTTGTGATTTCGCCTTCAGCGACAAACTATTCGCAGACAGCAGCGGAAAAGTGATTAGCACCCTTGTCGTGGGTGGGGTGTTCAATACAGATCTGTTTTAGTTATGTTATGTTATGATTTAGGTATGTTATCAATTTTAGTTGTGATTTTAGTTCAAGAGCTTGTAAATTGGCAATGACTTGGTTTATTTGGAGTAGTAAAATAGCATACACATTATAATTCTGTTGGGATGTGCGTATTTATGGCCACCACTGTACGTTTCCCCGCGTAAGTCAAGCCAGCTTCCTTTTTTACCCACCCCCTGGCCCATAATATCCCTCGCCTCCCACGGCGCCCCGTTTAAGCACGTGCGCCTTCATTTTATGCTCATTATTAATTAACGAGTTATTTTCCTCGCCCGGCGATGAATATTCATACATTTTTAATCGATTTTTACGCTTCTGACTGATAAAAGCATCAGCAGTTTGGCGGCAATTGCACAGTTTGGCGGCCATTGACATGGCATATAGCAAATACGCCGATGCGGTCGCCGTTTTGCCATTTCTCAGGTCAGTTTGTGGTCACTTCACGATGACCTTCCTGCCAGCTGACTCGTTCCCGTTCCTTGGCCTCTGTGTCCTCTTCCAACGTCCACAATTGAAAACCTGCTGACTAATCAGTTGCAGACAGTGACAGCACCACAGACGTTGCTGATGACCACGATGGTGATGGGCAGTGGCGTGCTGAAGGGGGTTGTAATGCTGCCATTTATCTGAAGTATGCAAAATAGATTGGATATGTCTGCCTGCTTTTCCTCTCTGTGGCCTTGTGTCACCGATGGGAGTGGAAATTGGAATTGGATGAAATTCCAAATCGCTTCATGAAATCAAATTAAGCGAGTTAATGTAAATTTACGTTCATTCTTAAGACTTGAAGTACCATTGTCCAAACCTAAGCCCCCTTTGTACACGCCCCTGCTGACGACACTTGATACGACGACGCATTGCACTTGATGTGCATTATCTACGAGTTGTAGTTGTAGTTGCAGTCGTGTGCTGTGCATTTGTGCTGCCTGCCCAACTGTCACTCTGATGTACGTACGTACGTACCTCCCCAGATACCCCCACAAATCTGATCCGTACCCTCTGGCTATATCCACTCATCTCGACATCGACATCGACATCGACATGGACATGGACATCGGCTGACAACAATCAATGTTCGATGACATTTCTCTTTCCCGACTTATTTGTTCGGTCAAATGGGAAAGTCAAGCTGAGGTGGAATTTTTCTGAGATTGATTTAGATTCGCTTTCAGTTTGTGGGCCTTGATTGCTTGAGTTACCGGCTGCGTGGCAGATGCATTCAATTTTCAAATGCATGGCTACAAATAAGAGCATAATTAAGAAACATCATTTACAAACTCAACTTTCGCCCAACGTTATATAACAAAATAAATCAACGAATTCCCCTTATAATAAAAAAGCAGTGCTGCTAAAACTGGAAGAGCAGCCCAGTCCAGACAACTGGAGAATTCCGCCCGATTCTTCTTTGGCATGCAAGCCGTGTTTTGGATCTGCGGCTTCACGTTTGGACTTGGGGACCTCAGAACGCAGAACTCAGAACGCAGAACTCAAGCCTCAGACTTCAGACCTGGGATCGCGGAATCGGGTCTGGTTTTTAAAAAATTCTCGGCACGCGCATGCGCAGCATTTTTTCTACTGCGGTCAGCACGTTGTTCCTTTCGAGTTTGCTGTGCTGTGCTGTGCCTTTTCATCGTTGGCTTCGTTGGGGTAGGCCATGCCATTGGAAATTGAAATTAGAGGGTAAGCGGGGAGGGCAGCAGCTACTATGTTCCAAGCTGGTCACTTTCCCATGGGAGCCAAGGAATATCAATTAAAGGTGCCGCCATTAACTAATCTCCGTCTCTGTTTCTGTCTCTGTCTCTGTGTCCGTCTCTGTTTCTGTCCCTGTCTCCGTCTTTGGCCACCTTCCTTTGCTCAGCTGGGCTAGCCAAAAATGTAATTAAATCATTAATTTCCTGTCGTTATGAGGCAGCCTTGGCAACAACAAAAATAATGCCCTTCATGCAGCAAGAGCACAAAATGCCCTAGAAATACAGTCGAGTTTTAATTGTTATTTTTAAGGCCTGAAATAGTACCTTATGCAGTGCTTGTTTGGTTGTTCGACAAAAAGCTCGCAGATAGTTTAAGCAGCTTGTAATTTGAACTTCTGAGTATTACTCTCTAAATTAAACATTTTTCCAATATCAAACTTATGGAAGAACGTAGGACTCAAACACCTCAATCCCAACAATTGATGTTAGGTCCTCGAGCTTGCAGCTCACTTACCGAGATTCCACTGTAGGCAAGGAAGAACAAGCAGCGATAGCCCAAAGGAGTTGCGAGTTATTTGTATAGCAACAAAACTAAAAGGCAAAGCGCATGAACAAGTTCGAAGAATATACTATACAAAAAAATAAAATCTTATTTGTGTTGCCATGTGTGTCACACAAACACACAAGCTTGTAACTTGAGATAAATCCGTTATAATAACTCTGAGCATCTGGGTTGGATATATATACGCATACCTGTATGTATGTACATGCATATATAAATGTGGATGCCCGGACACACACACTCATACTTCAGCTCAAGTGTGTCGATTGTATCTTTGTATCTTTGGAGGATGCTTGGCGCTGTATCTTTGTATTAGTATCTTTGGAGCTTCTCTTCTTCCCCAACCCTTCGTTTTTCTCTCCCTCTCTCTCCCCCCCTCTCTTTCGCAGGTAAGCCAAGCAATCAGCGTTTTGTTTGCCTCTTGTTTTGTTTTGCTTTTGTTCGCCGAGTGCTCGTAGGTGTGTGCCTGTGTGCTAGTGTTAGTGTGTTTGTGAATCTCTTCTATATCTTACCTGTTTACCTGTTGGCCCTTCCCTCTCCACCCATTCGCTCTTCAGCCTCCTGTCTCTCCTCCCTCTCTTCGTCCGTAATTAGCCTGCGCCTTTTCGTGGGATCGCCAGGCAGCGAAAGAGCAACGAAAACAAACGAAACTTGAGCCCAAAGGGGGGACTATGATAGTATCCAAAAGGTTGGCCATACACCTCCGACGAAATTGTATCCCCCAAAGTAATACCATGTTAGAAACAATGGTTTTTGTAATAATAAAATATGACCTTAGCTCAAACCGGTGACAACAGTATATTAAATAGCAAACAATTCCGTTAAAATTGTATCTTGATGTTTAAAATGCGTAGGAAAGTATGCTGCGTTATATTTTATGTTTAGATACATGTGATCTGAGTATCGGCTATCAATTAAGATGACTATTTACCGTATAGTCTAAGTTGACCCAGTCACTTTTAATTGCTGACCCACTAGCAAGTTGCAAGTGTCTCTCAAACGGAAATAAAATAATTATCGCCTAACGGCAAAAGGAAATTAAGTTGGTCGTGTCTGCGGTAATCAATGTGGTCAGCAATTGACCAAGACTGCAACAGATTGACAGCAAATTACATGCTTAAACCAAAAGTTATCAAAGTTAACAGAGATCTTAACTTTAAAAATATGATATTTCTAAATTACATGAACCAAGTGTCATTAACTCAAAAACCTTGAAAATTAAAGCGGGAAAATAATCAGATAGAGGGTTGATGAGTTATAAGAATCTGATGTTATTATTATTTTGGTAAATAGTGGGTAGTTTTCTACCTGTATACTCCCCCGATTTTTGTTTTCCACTCTCGCTCTTTGAAATGTGCTCTCTCTCTCTCCGCTCTGAGAGAGATCCCTGATTCATTTTTGGGAGTGATTAATTCTCACCTGAGGCCCCAGCTTCGATTTCCATCTGAATCTTGGGGCAAGGCTCTTGAATCTTCTGAGAAAATGAGAGAATCGACAACGTATAAATACCTCTGCGTTGAGTCACGTACCTACACACCTGTAAAACTTTTGTTCTTTGATGTGGCACAATGGACGTAGCCATGTGTGCTTGTGTGTGTGCCGAGAAGTAAGAGTACGAGTTCTTTTTGTGCCTTTTGTACCTGCTCTATAGCTACTCTTCCTCTTCTTCGGGAGGGTTTACTTACAAGGAACGAAAAAAGAGGACGCAAAAGTGCTTAACGAACTTTGCGAGGGAGTGCCAACTAAATGATCTTTCCCAGCAATCCCTTTATTCCATGAACATTCGGTTTGCCGGCTTTCCGTTTAAGTTTTCGCAATTATTCACACTTTAAAATGTTTCAGATGTTATGGGATTTTGTTTAAGAATTTCCAATTAATACAAATACATAAAATACGTAT